CAGCATCGAATCTCAGGAACAGCAGTATTTTGTACAGTCAGACTTCTTGTCTTTTTCCCAAATAAGAAAACAATAGAATATTTATCATTGTAGTATTAATTTCTGGATTCCCCAATTACTAATAAGAATTTTTAAATATATTTATGTGCTATTATTTCTTTTCTTGTAAGATATGTCTGTTTTTATCTTTTGCCTGTTTTTCCATTGAAATGTTTTTATAGTTATAGAACTATTTCACTTTTCTCTATTTTAAATCAATTTTGGTAAGAACATGTTTTCTCTTTATTTTGTCTAAATCTCTGATATATTGGTAGTTTATGTTCTTATTTATATCCCAAGTATTTTGTTAGTGTCTTCTCTCTTTTACTGTTAATCAATCTGGTCACCATTTTATTTAAACAGTTTTTGCAAAGAAATAACTTTGTGTTGACCATCTATTTTAATCTGTTTTTTATTTCACTTGCTTGTTTTGAAAAACTCATCTTTATTATCTCTGTTTTTCTGCTTTCTTGGGGCTTCCTCTGTTTTTCTAACGTCTTAATTTGAGGCTTAGCTACAAACATATAAGAGGCTACAAAATTTTATTGAGTATTATTTCAATATAACATTATTGTTCAGCTGAATATTTTTAATTTCCATTAAAAAGATTTTGATGTATGAGTTATTCAGCACTATATGTGTGCCTAATTTCCAATTGGAGGGATTTTAAAATTAATCCTTTAATTATTAACTTCTAATTTATTTAAATACCAGTCAGAGAAAATGGTCAGAGAAAGTACCGAGGGCTTACTTTGTGAATAATTTTTTAAATGACCCATGTGTCTTGATAAGAATGCGATATTTCTAGTTGTACCCAGGATTCAATTAATTAAGCTTGTTAAATATATTGATCAAATTTTTTATATAGTCATCATTTTTATCTGCTTCATCTAATAATGATTGAAAGGGTTGTGTTGAAATATTTCGTTATAATAAGAGATTTCTCTGTGTGCTAGCAATTTTAAAAATATTTTCATATAATTTTATTAGATTAATGTGTTTGCAACTATTATTATAGATCTCTCATAAATTAAACCTTTTTATTAGTTTGTAGTGTCCATTTCTATTCTCAAAGGATTTTTGTCTTTAAGAATACTTTTTATTACTCAGCTTTTTTTTGGTTAGCGTTTATCGGTTAAACCTTATCAAGCCTTTTATTTTTAATTTTCTGTTTTCTTATAGGCATATTTCTTTTTTTTTTCTTTCTTTCTTTTTTTTTTTTTTGAGACGGAGTTTCGCTCTTGTTACCCAGGCTGGAGTGCAATGGCGCGATCTCGGCTCACCGCAATCTCCGCCTCCTGGGTTCAGGCAATTCTCCTGCCTCAGCCTCCTGAGTAGCTGAGATTACAGGCACGCGCCACCATGCCCAGCTAATTTTTTGTATTTTTAGTAGAGATGGGGTTTCACCATATTGACCAGGATGGTCTTGATCTGTTGACCTCGTGATCCACCCGCCTTGGCCTCCCAAAGTGCTGGGATTACAGGCTTGAGCCACCCCGCCCGGCCAGGCATATTTCTTATACACAATAAATGGCTGGTTTTGTTTTTATGTTCAATCAAATCTCTGATTTTTTTACTGGCAATTTAAGATCATTTACATTTATTTTAATTGCTAATATACTTGGATTTATTTTTGTTATTTTGTTATTTATAATTTCTCTGACTCTTTTTTTTCTCTCTTTGCCCCTTTACATTTTGAATTAATGAAAACTATTTTTTGTCTTATGCCATTGTTTTCTATCAACTGGTGTGGAAGTTATTTTTATGCATTTGGTGGTTTCCCTAGAAGTTCTAATATGCATATTTAATAAAGTCTGATATTCCACAACACATTAATTCTACCCTAAAGCTATACAAAACCTTGAAACATTTAATGCAGATATTTGCTCACCCCCCAAATATTTACATTATGCTTTATTTGTTTTAATTCCCTAAACTAGACACAATTATGGTTTTCTATATAGTGTTTATTTTGATTTATTTATTAAACTGTTGCTTCTTACCTTTCATACTATCCTTTTAAGATCATTTTCCGTCTATGAAGTTTATAACTTCAGTATTTCCATAGTGATTGCCTATTAGAAACTCCACTTTGTTGTTTGCATATTTTTAATGTAAATGCCTCTATTTTATCTTCATTCTTAAAAGATGGCTTTAATATTTATGTTTAAAACTATTTTTTCTCAGCAATTTGAGGATATTATTCTATTGACTTATGGTTCCCTTGTTGAGAATCTTTCTATCAAAGTTTCATCCTTTTTAGCTGTTCTGGTTTTTTTCTCTGCTTTGTTGAAGACCATCTATTTATCCTGGGGTTCTACAGTTTTACTGGATATGTGTAGCTGTAGATTTCTGAAATTTTATTCTATTGGCATATAGTATGGTTCCATTATCTTTGTATGCATGTTTTTCATCAGTTCTGGAAATTTTTCAATTAAATATTGAATTTAAATAGCATATCTCCTCTGTTATCTCTTGTCTGTCTTACTGGGACTTGAATTGCATATTTATGATTAATATCCTCATTATTATTCATATCTCTTAACCTCTCTCTAATAATTCTCATTTTTTTAACGTCTACATAATGGTACCAGATCTAAGTCTTCACCTGAGACAGATGAATGGGTGTCGTTAGAAAACAAGAAGTAAGGGATGATTTAGAAAGTTGCATCATTTCAAAGGTAAAGGAGACAAATTAATTCCTCTCTTAGATAACTTCCATTAATAACTATTATTATTGTTGTTTGTTGTGAAATATCTATAAAATTCATGCTGTACAACTGATTTGTTCACCTAAAAGAAATTTTAACTGCCCTTCCAAGTATTATAAATTTTTTAAAGACAAATAAAATGAGATCTTTATTAAGTTTGGAAGTTTAGTTAACAGACTTAAAAGTTAATGCAGTAACCTGTATTTCCAAGCTTACTGCATTGATTTATTTGACATGGAATCATCTTCCAAGCCTTCTCAAGCCTTTTTCTCCCATCTGTGATCGGGCAGGCATGACCTAACCAAAGCCCAGCATCATGTTGCGTGAGTGTGTGATTTGTTGTTTTCCAAAAAAGTCATGAGTTCAATAAATGCAGCTGAATTTTCCTGCTATTGAACACATTTATTTTATTGACTTGCTTCAGAAATATGTGAACAACAGAGCTGCTGTCCCACTCTTCTTAGCAATGACAAATTGGTCATACACTTCAATTAATAATATCTGGTAAATAGCCCTGAGGCACTTATTTGTAAAAGTTAGTATTCCATGTTATACACTGATTAAAGATTCAGAGCTGCCATTATAAAACGTGTTTTTAAAGTTTAACACGTTATGTGTAATAGTCCTTAAATTTGCTGTATCTTTGCAGTCTGCCTTCCCTACAGATTGTGAATCAATCTCTTTTTTCATTTTATAGAAAATTGGGTTAGTACATAGAATTCTATCTCACGGAGGTGTCAAAAATGCATGTATTCTATGTATCTAATAATATATTGTGATAACATTCAGAGTAAAGAGACAATTCTTTTATGCCCTACTTTGCTGCCCTTTTTCCCTCCCTTTCTGCTTTTATTTCTTCCCCTTCCCCATGTTGTACCTCCAACCCACTAAATTCAGATGATGTAAAGCATTGTGTCAACATTTTTCCCTTTTATCAGTTCAGCTTTTGCCGGTGACGGTATTTGGGGCTTATATATAAAATGACTTGATTATTCGTGGTGATAAAGGGGGTCAGCATTGTGAGGAGAGTCCCCAGTACTTTTAGAGCAGGCAGCCAAGATGATGGGGTTAGAAGGCTGTCTGACCCTTGATGCCACCCTTGAAGTCTTAAAATTATACCATTTGCAATTTATTCCTTTGGATGGATTAGGGTATTGCCCCTTATCAAAATGCAAATCCCTCCAGGCCAGAAAATGCCTAAGCTGCTATCATTTATTAACATCATACAACTAATTCATGTGTTGGAAATCTTCCAGCAAAATTAGGCTGAGAGTGATTTTTAGGAAAAACTAGAGAGATCCAGCTTGAAAGAGATTCAGAACTAGATGAGGTCACTAAACATCCAGAGAGCAGTAAGAGGCCATTGCAGACAGAGAAGAGGGAGAGGAAGAACAACTAGAGGTTAAAGAGGCTCAAGAGAAACTCGTGTAATTCTGAGTTTTGCCCAACCTTGGTCCTAAGCGTGTGTGTGTGCACGCGCGCGCGTGTGTGTGTGTGTGTGTGTTAAGTGAAGAAAGCAAACATTCACGCAAATACCCTGTGAGTCTAGCCCAGGGGGCAAAGTTTCCTGCAGGATTTCATCTGAAATCACTATATACACAGCAGTCATGAAGAATGGAAAGTACCTACAGAAATTAACTTGTAGATGATCAAAAGGATGAACGTGTCAGAATGGGCTAGAGGTTGTTTATTGCACTTGCGAAATTTCGAAACAAATGTCTAGTTCTGATCATGACTATTAAAACTGAGCATAACTGGTCAAAAGTCTCATTTCAGGCCAATGGCTAAGTATTTATTTCACCAAATTTGAATTCAATGTGTCTGCTTATGCTCCCTTTTCCTCTTCTTACATTTAGTAAGCATTTCTAGTATCCATATTTGTACAAAGTTTACTGCCAGTGTTCTGGGGAATGCAGTGAATAAGAAATACAAAAGAGATGTTTCCAAGTAGCTACTACAAAGCGGCAAGAAGAAAATAAAACAATAAATATGATGCTGTTTAGACTATGATATGAGCTCTCTGGGAAGCACAGATGAAGCACAATGTGGTATGTGGGGAGCGTTAAACAATGCTCAGTGCCATAGTTATAAATAACCTATTCAGCCATTGCTGTAAAGATTGGCAGTTGGGGGTGATAATTACTTTCATGCAGATCACCTAAGGCAAGCCATCAGTTATCCACTGAGAGGAACAATAGCCTGAAAATCCTGGGGATTCATCATTGATTAATATAATTTCTGCTCCCAATTTTGCTAGAAATTTCCAAAATTCACTAAGTCTTCAAGGAAGAAAATGCAAATTAAAATATCTCTTGAAGCTTTCCCTGAGATTTTTCTTTTCAGGTCAGGATCTCTCCTGGTCATGGTAGAGTCGAGTTGGGGTTGAGAGACGCCACAGTCCTAGAGGTTAGAGTAGGGACTCTTGAGCTGAGGTGTCTGCAGGCAACAAGGCAAAAGGAAAGTTCTAAGTGGACATGCCTTGGAATGTCAGGCAAAACTTAACGGACCACGAATTAGAAGAAGCCAGAGGCAGGTATTGAACTCAAAATATAACATCTAACTAAAGAATTCTGTTAGTCACTTTGAACAGTGAATTTTAGTGTTTGTGACTTGCTTTTAAGGAGTCTGTGGGAGAAAGGCCAGGGACTGAGTGCATATTGCCAGACAAGCCAGTCTTCCTTGGGCAAATCAGCATCTCTGTTCTTGTGTTCTCACACTGGGACAGAGAATTGTTCTTGCAGTCGTTCATGCCACACACGTTTATTAAGCAGCTACTATGTTCCAGGCTCCATGCTGAGTGTGCACAGAGATTCAAGTAGAAGTAGCTGGTACTCCAGGATGTAGAGTCCAAAGACACCTATGAATAAAAAACAGACACGCCAGGCATAGCTAAAATGCATGTATTTTTGTAAGGCTGGCCAAGGGTTGGCCTTAGAACTAGCTTCAACTTTTAAATAGTCATGACCAAGCATCCCACAGAGATCATATGATTAATCATGAAAGTCCTTTGGTTTACAACCTTTTCATAGACAGATATTGTATGACAAATTAACCTTAAGGACACATTCCTTCAAGGACTATTGTTACCTAGGGTCTTCTAAGCCTTGAGCAAGGGTTTGCTGGTGTTATGACATGTTTTAAATAACCAAGCAAAAAAATAACTAAGCTCTTTCCAGGTTAACACTCAGGGAACTGAGCGTCTGATCTCCCTGCCCATCTGTTTCTTTCACTCAAAGTCCCAGAATACTACACCAGGGACAGGATTTTCACCTCTCAATATAGACCCACGTACCTTACCTCATGGTCCACTGACTTCCTGAGAAATAAATCGTCCTCGTGTTTCATAAGAGACAACAGACATTGATTTTGTTGTTAACATATGTGAGGCTTCGTTCATTCAATAGACTATAATTTTAATCACCAATAAGTATCCTAAAATTTCAGATGCTAATGTCCTGAGGGATCAACTTTTAATCAATTATTGACTACAGTTTGAAGGGTACTATGTCCAGATTAAATGCAGTATGATTTGTCCTATGGTAAGTAAATCCTCTCCACTTGAAGTCTTGAAGTTGTTTTAAATGCCTTAAACCAAGTTTCTCCAACAGCGGTTTCAGGATTGTGACATTTTATGCTAGTTTTACAGCAAAAAGAAATCTTTAGCAATGTGTTGAAAGGCAACATGAGTTCACTCTGAGTCTTTGATTATGTTTAATAAGCTTTTCTGTCAGATGGTGAGTCATGATCTTTCTCTTCTGTTTTACAGTTTGTATTTATGCCTATTTGCATTAGGTAAAAGCAGTGTAACGGCTCTGCCCTTTGGCAATGATGACTCCATTATTTTAATCAGTGCAAAGAAAAAAAATAACAATTTGGCATGAGAGTGTGTAAAACCGCTTCCTTTAGCCACTTTAAATTTTAGTAGTTATATGTATTCTTATAGAATGACTATTTTGTGACATTAACTGTCACTACATCCATCATTTGATTTGCATGAGAAATTTTGCTATCAGGTTCAATTTAGCAAATGAGGTTAAGAAAAATTTTTATCTTATCTATTTGCAAGCCTGAGTGATGTAGACATTTATAAGCATGGCTTTATAATATTTTACTTAATGGGAAAAAAATCAATGCTAACCTCCAATCCAATAAAGCTAAATTTGTCTAGCAGCAAGGTGTGGCCAGGGTAAATAGACTGTAAGGAAAACACCCACAAAGGAGTGGAATTAGTATTTCTGAATCCCCATTAGACAACAATAATTACTAACAATTTATCTCAAGCTTACTCCTCTCTTGGTAGCATTTTTTAAGTCATTTCTTCTGGAAGTCTTTGAGCCTAGAAGAGCCTAGTATTGTGCTGATTTCTTTTGTGTACACTGTCTTGAGTCAGATATCACTAATTTGAAAATGGGTTTCATTTCTTTTGATGAAAATAATTTGGAGTTAACCAAGTTGGTACCTGGGTACCTGGTCTGACCCCTCAGGTGTCATATGATTAATCATGAAATCCTTTGTTTCTCAACCTTTTCATAGACAGATATTGTGTAACATGTTAAGCTTAAGGACACATGCCTTAAAGGACTGTTGAGCAAAAAAATAAGCTCTGCAGTAACACTCAGGGATATATAGAGTGTCATGTCCCTTCTCTGGTACCTACATGTTCAGTCTTCTTGCCTATCTGTTCCTCTCACTCAAAGTCCAAGAATCCTATGGCACGGGCAGGATCTATTTAGGACCCAAGGAGTGAGATTAAGTAATGGGTGGATGTATCATGGAGGTAGGCAACTTTTTCTATAAAGGGCCAGATGGTAAATATTTTTGGCCTTGTGAGCCATACAGTCTCTGTTGCACCTACTAAACTCTGCTGTTTCTACAAGAAGACAGGCATAAACAACATATAAATGAATGAGCCTGGCTGAGTTCAAATAAAACTTTATTTACAAAAATAGGGAGCAGGATAGATTTGGCTTGCGCACCATGGTTTGCTGACTGTGGTATAAGATGTCACTCTCTGTGGATTATATTTTGGCACATTACTAAAGAAATAGTGACAACATAAATTTTCCTGACATGTAATACAGAGAAAGTGTTATGGCTCCTTTGGATACTGTAGAGTTATTTAAAATGTGTCATAATACCAGCAAACCCTGTTGTTCAAGGCTTAGAAAATCCGAGGCAACGAGTACTTGAATAAAAGGCAGAAGAGGACCAGATGAGACTGGACAGAGGCACCAAACAATCACACCCTGGTATGTTTTCCCAGGTATTAGTAATGTGGAGTGGAGTGGAGGAAATGGTCTGGCTGTGGGAGAATTTCAGAACAGAGATTATTTTTGCCAATATGTCCATTCTAAATAAGACTCCATCTAGCACTTAAGGAATTAGGAGTTAGGAAGATAATTGGACCATAACCTCGTAGTCAGTTCAGAAAACAGTCAATCCCAGTGGGGATATTGGGCTGCCCAGTAGGCACCACTTTGGACTGATAGAAGATATGTGTGCTGGGTCAGTGGAGGTGAGGGAGCAGTTGGTGAGACATTGAGAAAAGGGAAACTTGTGTTATTTCAAAGCTCATTTAGTCACCCAAGTTTTGCCTGGACAATTCCTGGGGTAGTGCAAGATTGAATTAAGGCACCTCTCAAGTGTGTGCCCAAGTTTCTGATCTGATGAGTAGATGTCAGCAGATACTGCTGCAGTCTAGGAAAGGGGATCTTTGAGACCGAGGAAGCAAGTAGGGGCTGACCACATCACTGCTGTAAGCATTTTGCTCGTATATGGCAAGCACTGTGAGGGCCAGAAATGAACTCTTTCTTTGTAAAGTCTCACTTATACCTACACGGGAAAATCAGACACTATGCCTAACACTGGGTTGTTCCAGGAGAGTCTTAGGTACTGGAAGTTGTATTGTCTACCTTTTTTTTTTTTTGATACATAAAGAACTTTTACATTGTAGAAAGATTTTATCAGATGCAGTGAGAATTTTACTTGGAAATTGCAGCATTTTCAAGATGAAAAGTGTAAACAAAGAACAGCACAATAGGTATTATGCACAGTAGATGCTTCGGGTTAGGATGAGTTAGAGTGATGTAGACTTTTTTTAAATAAAAAGAACAATACCTTTAACCTCATGTGTATATTTAAACACTCATAAAACATTTCTATGAGTTATGACAAGAATTCAGGAATTTCAGTGTACTTACAAATGAAAATAAAGGAGAATACTTGATAGTAATTTTCTAAAGGCAGTGTAAATATAAAGCATGTTGCTTTTATAGCCATGAGGAGACCTACATGACTTTGCATACCACTTATGTAGATTTATTGTAAACTTTCTGAAAAGAGGTACTCTATTTGTTTTCTTAAATAAACTGCAGACTTCTCCGTCAGTGCGGAATCATAGCACCCCTTCCCCCTTAGTGTCACAGTTAGTGGCTTCTCTAGGTAAGATTTGTCTGAGAGGAAAACTGCACTCCGATTCTTAGAAATTAACATCTCCCAGGTGGACAAAGCTCCAAAAAAAAAAAAAAACCTCAACTCAGCATCTCACAATTGTTGAAAACTGCACGACTGTCTCCTTTAGTCACATGGCTCTTTGGCAAGGGCATTTGGGGAGCTGCTGTTGAACCAACAGAGGCAGAGGAAGTGAATTTGAGATAAACCCGACTAAAATGTCTCCTGAGTGAGCCAGGAGAGATGCAACTGTTGAGTGCATGCAGCACTCATTGTACTTGGCTCACTCAGAAGCAAGGATAACTCCACATGTGAATAGTGCATGTGGGGAGGAGCCATGAGAAAACAACTGCCTGTGGTGCATGGTGATTCTGGGAAATACCCATGAATGGGCGGCCCACCAGTGTTCATTAAGGTCCTGCTGCATTCAGAGCGTTGTATTGGAGGGACCGGCCATTGCCATGGAAACTGAGAGCCCAAATGCAATCATATACCTGAGTTTGAAACTTAGGATTATGAGCAGTACTCATTTTAAATAAAGAAAATTTGGGAAAACTAAATCTAAGGTAAACAGCAAAGCCCTCTCACACATTTGTCCAGACTAGAGCAATACCCAGAGCCATGCCCCTTTGCAGAAACTGTGAGCAAGAGACAGGCCCGACAATCTGCACTAGCTGTGGAACTAAAGCCACGCCAGGTTAGGAGAGTCCCTGACCGTCAGGTAAAACCCAGGCACACATCCTGCTGAGGAGTGAAACCATGGTGAGGTTCTGAGGTTCCTGGTCCTTAAGCCATTTGATGATCCTCCCAGTTCCCATGCAGAGAGAATTCAGACATCTAAAATGCCCTTGTGAAGCTCTTTTCATTTCTGGGAACTCTTGTGTCTTCACTGATAAAGCATCCTGGGGAGATTCTGTCCCCATAGCCACCATATTCCTCCTCCGCCCTGCCCATGAAAATGTGGAAAAATTCATGTACTCACCAAGTGTTTAGAAACAACCCACTTTGTCATTGTTTTAACTGCACTAAACTTGCTTGTCAATGATTTTGGAAATTACCATTCGACATTGCAGACCTTGTTCTGTTCACACTGCTTCCCCACAGCCCAGTGCGGGGGTTCTTAGAGAAAATGAACTCCTCTGGTTGCTAATCTGAGGGAAAACCCACCAGACTGCATTCACTTAGCCTCTCCACTCAATTTGCACTGTGATAAACTGGTCTTTGCTAGTTATATGCCAGTTTTGTTCAGTAGGGATAATGGAAATAAAATGCATACCTCAGAACAAAGGCAATAAAGTATTATTATGGCTGATGAAGGTCTGATTTGTTTCGAATGCCAGTTGCTTAGAGGCAAGGATTTTATAAAAATCAAATAATAAATGGTTAGCATATTGGCAATGTAAATATTCCCTTATTGATTTTCTATGAAAATCAGATTTCAGACAGAAAAAAAAGCCTGACATGCTTAAGAATAGACTCCAGGGCAAGTATTTGTGATGAATTGTTATCAAGTTCTTAACTTGCTTACATTACATTTTCAGCAGCATGCTCATACTTAGACTTACAAATTTTCCTGTGTTATTTGATTTCTAGATTCTACAGGTTAATAAAATTAAAAAGTGAATTTTATTAACCTGACTCAGAATGAGGCTATATAATGCAGCAGTTCTTTTAAGTCTGCATTTAGACTCACCTCGAGTTTATTTAAAAGAGTTTCCCAGTACCATATCCTCTAGAGATTTTGATTCAGTAGTTATGAGAGAGCCTGGCAATCTGCATTTCCACAAAATACCCCACATGTTTCTATGCTGGTCACCCTTGATTATAGTGTGAGACAACCTGCAATAGAAGGCATCCTACTTTTGAATAAAATTTCACAGAAAGAGGATGGAAAGTTAAGAGGCTTAAAATAACTAAAATCAACTGAGACCAAGGCTCTGGTTTAGAGTACCAAAAGAGAGAAAAAGGATAAAAAGGAATATATATAGCCAGGCCACTCACCTTGCTCCCTTTCTCCTGATCACATCAAGTCCACCTCTTACAAGAGAACCCAGCACTATTCCCCAAGTCTATAAGCACCCACTGAGTT